AAACGGCCACACACCTGTACCAAGACGACAACACACCTATAACAAGACGACACACACCTGTAACAAGACGACCACACACCTGTAACAAGACGACCACACACCTGTAACCAAGACAACCACACACCTGTAACAAGACGACACACACATGTAACAAGACGACCACACCTGTAACAAGACGACCACACACCCTGTAACAAGACGACCACACACCTGTAAACAAGACAACCACACACTGTAACCAAGACAAGCACACACCTGTACCACACTTATACCAAAGCAACCAGTAACTCTATAGCCACCACACCTGTACAAAAACACAACCACACACCTGAATGAAACGACCCACACCTGTTCATCACCTTCTATGGAGATTAATTATATATATAGCGCAGTAATAAAGATTGAAAACCAGTAATTAAAACATGTATCAGAAACACTCTTAACATTATCTTAAGGTGATCTAAGATATCCTATACCATTCTTAGGGTTATCGTGGGGGGTTACCTGGATGCAGAGGTTATCGGGGGAGGGGGGTCACCTGCCCACTTTTGATTATATGCCTACGAGTACGATATCCTGTCTAGTCATAGGTAGTGAAACGCGGGTTGCGATATCCGTAGAGTTTGTACATTCTATATATATATATATTTTTTTAACACTATTCAAAAACAAAGACAAAATTTATTGGTAGTACTGATTTAGTTGTAGTTTTTATTCTTTTGGGGATAATTTATTTTAAATTTATAATTATTAAAGAAGCCTAAATGTAATCGAGGTTTGAAAATATTGAAGCCCAAATGTAATCGAGGTTTGAAAGTAATTGAAGTCAAAATTAAATCGATGTTGAAGGTATTAAAGCCAAATTAAATCGATCTTAAAGGTAATTGAAGCCTAAATTTAATTGATGTTGAAGGTAATTGAAGCTCAAAATTAATCAATCTTGAAAGTAATTAGCCTAAATGTAATCGACGCTTGAAGGTAATTGAAGCCAAAGTTTAATCGAGGCTTGAAGGTAACTGAAGCCTCGGATCTTTCTAGCCTCTTAACCACGACGTCTACATGATCGGAGCCATTGTTGAGAGAAGCCTAAACAAACGATAGGATCCAGTAGTCTCATCTATATCCAATGTTTACCTATGTGTGTGTGTGTGTGTGTGTGTGTGTGTGTGTGTGTGTGTGTGTGTGTGTGTGTGTGTGTGTGTGTGTGTGTTTATATGTGTGTATGTGTGTGTGTGTGTGTGTCTGTGTGTGTGTGTGTGTGTCTGTGTGTGTGTGTGTGTGTGTGTGTGTGTGTGTGTGTGTGTGTGTGTGATTTTGTTCCCAGGATTCCATTAATTATCGTCTATTTTATATATTTTTGAATCGTTTTTATTTGTTTTGGTTTATTTTCTTTTTTATTCGTTTCTCTGTCAGGATAATAAAAAGGAAATTGATTTTTTATTAATTTTGGCTTGGATAATAAAACCATATGTTGTTGAAGGTCATTTTTATTATATTATGGGCAGAGTAAGAGCTTGTTTATCCCAGGTACGAGAGAGAGAGAGAGAGAGAGAGAGAGAGAGAGAGAGAGAGAGAGAGAGAGATAATGTGTTGTTTTAATGTTTGAAGAGATAAAAGAGAGAGAGAGAAAGAATATGTTGTGATTGGGATGTTTTGTAAGGGAGAGAGAGAGAGAGAGAGAGAGAGAGAGAGAGAGAGAGAGAGGAGAGAGAGAGAGAGAGAGAGAGAGAGAGAGAGAGAGATAATGCGTAATCCAACTCTAAAAAACTACAATACTTTGACTAGCTAATCACACCTCGTGGTAGACAACACACCTGTAGCAAAACGACCACACACCTGTACCAAGACGACCACACACCTGTAACAAGACGACCACACACCTGTACCCAAGACGACCACACACCTGTAACCAAGACTACCACACACCTGTAACCATGACGACCACACACCTGTAACCAAGACGACAACACACTCGTAACAAGACAACAACACACCTGTACCAAAACGGCCACACACCTGTACCAAGACGACAACACACCTATAACAAGACGACACACACCTGTAACAAGACGACCACACACCTGTAACAAGACGACCACACACCTGTAACCAAGACAACCACACACCTGTAACAAGACGACACACACATGTAACAAGACGACCACACACCTGTAACAAGACGACCACACACCTGTAACTAAGACGACCACACACCTGTAAACAAGACAACCACACACTGTAACCAAGACAAGCACACACCTGTACCACACTTATACCAAAGCAACCAGTACCTCTATAGCCACCACACCTGTACAAAAAACACAACCACACACCTGTTAATGAAACGACCCACACCTGTTCATCACCTTTCTATGGAGATTAATTATATATATAGCGCAGTAATAAAGATTGAAAAACCAGGTAATTAAAACATGTATCAGAAACACTCTTAACATTATCTTAAGGTGATCTAAGATATCCTATACCCATAGAAAGATTATCATAGTAGAGGTTACCTGGATGCAGGGTTATCGGGGAGAAGTCACCTGCCCACTTTTGATTATATGCCTACGAGTACGATATCCTGTCTAGTCATAGGTAGTGAAACGCGGGTTGCGATATCCGTAGAGTTTTTTGTACATTCTATATATATATATATTTTTTTTTTAACACTTATTCAAAACAAAGACAAAATTTATTGGTAGTACTGATTTTAGTTGTAGTTTTTTATTCTTTGGGGATAATTTATTTTAAATTTATAATTATTAAAGAAGCCTAAATGTAATCGAGGTTTGAAAATAATTGAAGCCCAAATGTAATCGAGGTTTGAAAGTAATTGAAGTCAAAATTAAATCGATGTTGAAGGTAATTAAAGCCTAAATTAAATCGATCTTAAAGGTAATTGAAGCCTAAATTTAATTGATGTTGAAGGTAATTGAAGCCAAAATTAATCAATCTTGAAAGTAATTGAAGCCTAAATGTAATCGACGCTTGAAAGTAATTGAAGCCTAAAGTTTAATCGAGGCTTGAAGGTAATTGAAGCCTCGAATCTTTCTAGCCTCTTAACCACGACGTCTACATGGGATCGGAGCCATTGTTGAGAGAAGCCTAAACAAACGATAGGATCCAGTAGTCTCATCTATATCCAATGTTTACCTAGTGTGTGTGTGTGTGTGTGTGTGTGTGTGTGTGTGTGTGTGTGTGTGTGTGTGTGTGTGTGTGTGTGTGTGTGTGTGTGTGTGTGTGTGTTTATGTGTGTGTGTGTGTGTGTGTGTGTGTGTGTGTGTGTGTGTGTGTGTGTGTGTCGCCTTTAAAAGTTTTCCTCTGAACGTTTCCAATGATGAAAGAAAATTACGAACTGTAAAAAAAAAAAGTTTGAAATAATAAACTTGTTCTGGATTCTGAAATATTTAATAGTGATTTGTTTTTGTTTTTTTGTTTTGTTTATTTTTTTGTTATGAAGATGAAGGAATTGATTTTGAGTTCCGTGTGAATCGTGGTATTATTTTTTGATTATTTTTTTGTTTGGTTGCAGGTTAAGTGAGTGAGACAGTTTCATGCCTTCTAACGTACTGCTTATTGCTATGGGTACACCACACACATCCCAGGTATTAAATATTATGGTCAAGAAATCGATTCAATATTCATTATTCGACTCAGAACTCAAGATTCGATTCGACATATATTTGTACACGCTGCAGCCAAGTGTCAGTCGCTTCAGTGTAAAATATTCGACTCAATATGTTTATGTATACGATGCAAACCCGATTCGACTCAAAATTAAGAATTCGACACCGACTAAGACTTAATCCTCCAAGCAAAAGTCGACACATTATTGAAAATTCGACTCTGAGCGTATCACATACTTTCAGGCAAGGCTCAATACCACACACACACACACCTACACACACACACACACACACACACACACACACACACACACACACACACCTCTCTACTACTACTATTAATGATCGTATAACAAGTCAATCGTTGGGGAGGAAATACAAGGCAATAAAGGATCCCTCTATATATATTAATGTATTATATTATGTACGACTTATGTTTGTAGTGTGACCTTTAACGACATTAAAAGGTTATCCACGGTTAATACTGGTTAATGAGAGAGAGAGAGAGAGAGAGAGAGAGAGAGAGAGAGAGGATTGGTCAAGTTTTAAGTTAAGGGTCAGACTTCTGTATCTAGGGCAGTGTCATTGTGGAGGTGTGGGTTAATGGGTTAGGTGTGGGTTAGTGTGGGTTAGTGTGGGTTAATGGGTTTAGTATTGGTTAGTGTGGGTTATTGGGTTGAGTGTGGGTTAGTGTGGGTTAATGGGTTTAGTGTGGGTTAGTGTGGGTTAATGGGATGAGTGTGGGTTAGTGTGGGTTAATGGGTTAAGTGTGGGTTTGTGTGGGTTAATGGGTTGAATGTGGGTTAATGTTGGTTAATAATTTGAAGCCTGATCATTAACGTCAAGGGCTGGCAATATTTAAAGACCTGACTCTTAATGATGATAGCTGGCGATATTTAAAGACCTGACCCTTAATGATGATAGCTGGCGATATTTAAAGACCTGACTCTTAATGATGATAGCTGGCGATATTTAAAGACCTGATGACCGCCAATATTGATAGCTGGCGATATTTAAAAGACCCTGGCTCTTAATGATGATAGCTGGCGATATTTAAGAACTTGACCCTTAATGATGATATGGCGATATTTGAAACCTGACCCTTAATGATGATAACTGGCGATATTTAAAGACCTGACTCTTAATGATGATAGCTGGCGATATTTAAAAGACCTGACCGCTAATGATGATAGCTGGCGATATTTACAGACCTGACCCTTAATGATGATAGCTGGCGATATTTAAAGAATGACCCTTATGATGATAGCTGGCGATATTTAAAGACCTGACTCTTAATGATGATGGCTGGCGATATTTAAAGACCTGACCATATGATGATAACTGGCGATATTTAAAGACCTGATATGATGATAGCTGGCGATATTTAAAGACCTGACTCTTAATGATGATAGCTGGCGATATTTAAAGACCTGACCCTTAATGATGATAGCTGGCGATATTTAAAGACCTGACCCTTAATGATGATAGCTGGCGATATTTAAAGACCTGACTCTTAATGATGATAGCTGGCGATATTTAAAGACCTGACTCTTAATGATGATAGCTGGCGATATTTAAGGACCTGACTCTCATTATTGAAATCTGATTAGTATTTGCATCTCGCCTCTAATCACCTTAACGTTAATAATCTTTAATGACCGAATAGAGTGTATTAGCTTTATGGGTATTATTTCAGAGTTGAATGGTGGCACGATACTATGTATGCCTGTGTGTGTAGTGCCCACTTTCCAACGCCTAAAGTGCACCCTCCTTTACCATACGCGGGCATGTTATTCGAAAATGAAAACAAAGTACAATATATAATAATAATAATAATAATAATAATAATGATAATAATAATAATAATAATAATGCTAATAATACTGTTGGTTTCTATAGCGTGTACACAAGGAATCTGAAGTAATTTGCATATTTCCTTGTTTATTAATGAGGCACAACAGCTCACGACTCACACACACTCTACAGGGGACTCAAAACATTCCCGCTAGATTTGGTCATCACTCCTCAGGATCGACTTATTCGCCTTACACAATGAGGTGAAGGTTCAGTTTAGCTCCGCCATTGTATTTCTTGATCTGTTTTGATAGCTTTATTGATATGTTTGTTTTAATGTATATAATGGAAAGCCTGATGAGGGAGTGAGGAGGTAATAAGGTTGGAGACCATTTGTGATTTTAGGTACATGAGGTAACAACTAATGAGGGATCGTTAGGTTACGTCTGGTTGGTTCAGGTGGTTTGGGTCTTCGTTTGATCCCCATTTCCTCACAGGTTAGTTTTCTATGTATTAAAACAAAGATATCAGTGAGGATAATATGAAACAAGGGGCAGGAAATAAAGTAACAGAGCTAAAGTGAACATTTACCCAGGCTGCTTCACGACTAAACACGTGTTTTGCTACTTGCTACACTCACATGGCTTGTTGACGACACATAACCTCAGGCTACTGGCCACACACCTACTGTAATCGCTCTAAAAAACACTTATTTTTATATTTTTTGGGCATGAGCAACAGCGACGCAATGACTGTGTCGAACTATCGCAGCCGGGGCAAATATTTTGAAAGCCTCCTGCTCCAACCCGTAAGGTCACACTCCGTCCATCGACGTCGCACTCCATCTGATGACGCTAGCTTCTGTAGTTCTCCATCAGACATCGTTTAACGCCACTGTACTCCGGCAGATAAATTTGTCCCTATCTATCTTCTATCCGGATAATATAATGTTCTGCCTGACGATGTTATAATCCGCCCCACAGGGTATTGTGGTACCGGAGTCCGTGGGATGACAGCTCGTGAGACAGTGCGACCTGAGGGGAGTGTGAACACGGGGGGACAGGCAGGTGGGTCGCCCAGCACTGGCGTACACCCAGCGGGCTGTGGGTCAGTTCCCAGCGACATAAAAGTCTTACTAAACCAAAAGTGAAAGCTCTGTTGCATGTGAAGAAAGTCAGGTGAGGGAGCGAGCTTGTCCTCGCTGCCACAACCAGAAGTACTGTATAAAGGAGCGAAGTTTCCAGTTAATTAAAGTGCCTTTGTTTGATATCGATAATGGCTACATGCTGAGACTCAGTTGTTAAAACATGAGACATCTACGCACTGTCTGGTAGTAGTGTACCACTCACTCACTCAACTACTTGTTCTAAGCAGTTCAAGGTGCAGTACTTCCTAAATATTATCCACACGAGGAAAAAAACACATCATGTCACATCACGACTGTCTATTTTTTCCTCTTTTTTAAACGACACGAAGCTTCTGTGATCACCACCATCCACCCACCGCCAACCATCTAAACGTGATTGTGGTAGGCGTGGTGGTTGTGGTGGTGATGATGGGGCGCCTCTCTGGTGGGGGAAGTAGCTGTCGGGGGAACGTGGTAAGACACCTGTCGTCCTGGGGGAGGAGGGATCAGGTTCACGGATGGAGGAGCTAGGTTGTTTTGGTTGACGGGGACGGTGTAGGAAATGGGTGGGGGGATGAACTCCTGTTGGGACGTCGGGGAGTCCGGGGAGCTCCTCACGATCACCAGACTCGACCTACGACGCGTCTGGCCCGTCTTCTCTAGTCGCTCATCGTGTAGTAGCTGCTGGAGGAGGGAGGTGGTGAGTCGTTAGTGTTGAAGAAGCAACATGCAGATAACGAGGAAAAATAAAAGCTGATATTAACATACATGATGATAAGTTAACAAATACACACACACACACACACGCACACACACACAGACACACACACACACACACACACACACACACACACCCCTTCCTCCATCTACCTCCCCCTCCTCACCTTCTCGTAGTAGGAGTCGACGACGATAACGCAGTAGGTGGTGACGAGGCAGACAACGTAACTAGAGATGTCGGAGAAGCTGGTGTAGACCCCGTCCGTCATGGCCACTATGAGCATGAAGAGGTCATAGCCCACGGTGTAGAAGAACCAGATGGAGAGCTGCCACGACACACACTAGGGGAGGCAGAGAGAGAGTGGGTGTTGGTTAGTTGGTGGTTGGTTGAGGGTAGGTTGTGGTGGTTGGGGGTGGTTAAGGGGGTGGGGGTTGGATATGATGGTGGTTGGTTTGGTTAAGTTAGTAATTGGGTGATGGTGGTGGTTGGTTAAATGATGCTGGTTTGTTGTGGTTGCTTGAAGGAGTGGTTGATAGGTGAGGCAGACAGACAGACAGACAGACAGACAGAGAAACACAGCCTTCATCTCTGATTAACACGCACACGCACACACACACACTCACACACACACACACACACACACACACACACACACAACAAGACTTCTAATGAAACACTACAATACACAGAGTAAAATTTCTGAACTATTGTGGTGCCATGAATACAATAGAACAGTGGGACATATATCCCTCACCTCTGAGCACACCACTGGGAAAAAAATAGGTACATTATTTGTCCAAGGTTAAAGTATTTGAGGATTTTTTGTTTTTGTTATTCCTGGTATCTGTTAAATATGCTACTGATGACGTCATTAGGTGTAATACAGAGAGTGGAGAAGAAAGAGGAGGAGAAGAGGGAGAGGAGAAGAGGGAAGGGGTGGAGGAAAGAGAGGAAAAGGGGAAGAATTGGAGGAAGAAGGAAGGGGAAGGGGGTGGAGGAAAAGAGAGAGGAAAGAAGGGGGGTGGAGGAAGAAGGAGAGGAAGGAAGGGCAGAGGAAAGAGGAGAAAGGAAGGGGTGGAGAAGAGAGGAAGGAAGAATTGGAAGGAAAAGAGAGAGGGAAGGGGTGGAGGAAAGAAGAGAAGGAAAGGAAGGGTGGAGAAGAAAGGGGAAGAATTGGAGAAGGGAAGGGGTGGAGGGAAAGAGTGAAGAAGGGGAAGAGGGTGGAGGAAAAGGAGAGGGAAGGGGGGAAGAGTTGGAGAGGCAGAGGAAGGAGGGGTGGGAGGAGAGAAATGCAACGAAGAAGAAATTAAAGAAGAAGAAAAAGAAACAGACGAAAAATATATCTTTTTTATGTAATAACTATGTCAAGTTCAGCAGTATATAGTGACGTCATAAACCCTGGCACTGTTTTGACGTGTGTGGCACCTGGGTGAGTGTGAGGCATTATGGGTGATGTGTGTGTGTGTGGGGGGGAAGGGGGTGTTTTAGGTAAATAACGTGTACAGTAATATTCTAAATGGCTTTTGGAGGAACATGCAAAAATAAACAACGCCATCACTACCACACGCACACCACGTCCCTACTGCGTGCGCGTGCGTGTGTGTGTGTGTGTGTGTGTGTGTGTGTGTGTGTGTGTGTGTGGTTATGTACACCTGCAGAAATGTGTTCGTGTGTGTATATATCTACTCATATATACATATACACACACATAAGCCACACACACACACACACACACACAGGTGCAGTATTACAGGTGTGCGTGTGGCCGAGAAGGGGGGTGAGGTGGGAAAGGGAGAGGAAGAAGGCAGGGGAGGGAGGAGGGGAAAGAAGGGAGAGGAATGATGGGGGAGAAAGGGGGAGGGAGAGGAGGGGGAGTGTAGTCTCTTTAATGCAGAGATTATGACCTCAGTAATTCTGGGGGGAGGGAGGAGGATGGGGAGGGAGGAGGGATGGGGAGAGGGAAGAAGGATGGGGAGAGGGAGGGGAGGGATGGGGAGAGGAGGAGGATGGGGAGAGGAGGAGGATGGGGAGAGGAGGACGAGGGAAGAAAAGTAGGATGAGTAGGTGGGAATCGGAGGTGTCGTAGGGGGGGGGGAAAGGAGGAGGGAAGGAGGAGGAATTAGGAGAGCAAAATAAAGGAGGAAGTATAGAAAGAAGAAGAAGAAGAAGAAGAAGAAATAAACAAAAGTCAAAGGGGAGACTAAAATGAAATAAAAATACATCTAAAATGGAAGAGGCGGTGATAATTGATAACTAAATAGGATAAAAGAAGGAAGAAGAGAGATAAGAAACAAGATATCTAGGTAGTTAGTGAGTCTTTATTGCAGGACACACCGAAACCCTCGCAGCCAATCACGTTCATCTTTAAAGCTATGACGTCATTATTAAGCTGAGGGCGGTGCAATAGGTAGCATGAGAATGGCTTTAAATCAACCTGTGAACGTTTCTGCTTTCCTTTTGATAACATGTGTAAGTAATATATCACTAGAAATGACCACAGGATGTAGTTATGTTGATTTGAAAACATAATCTCTCAAAAGGTGTCGCCCCGCCTCCATTATGACCGAGGATGACGTCATAAACCAGTTGAGAGCTGTGATTGGTTGGGGGGATACCTTCCTGTGTCTTGTGATTGGTTCGTTGGGATAATGGGCGGTCGGGGAGGTTGTAACATGAAGGAACGTGTTCTTTGCAGAGGGCGTGGTACCTACATGGGAGGGCGTGGTAATCACATGGTAGGGCGTGGTAATCACATGGGAGGGCGTGGTACTCACTTAGGAGGGCATGGTACTCACTTAGGAGGGCATGGTACTCACTTAGGAGGGCATGGTACTCAAACAGGTACTCTTGGTACTCACCCAGAGGACAGCCACTATCAGTAGGCCTCCAACGAGGGAGTAAAATGCTGAGACGAATACCAACGCCCACAACACGCCCTGACCTGTAGACCAAATGGAACACTGTAGCAATGGTTTAGTGGTTCAGTAGTAGTAGTAGTAGTAGTAATATCAGTGATGTGATCGTAGTATAAGTACACGTAGTAGTAATAGTGATGTTAGTAGTAGTAGTAGTAGTAGTGGTAGTGGTGGTGGTGGTGGTGGTGGTGGTGGTGGTGGTGGTTGTGGTGGTGGTGGTGGTGGTGGTGGTGGTGGTGGTGGTGGTGGTGGTGGTGGTTCTTTTAATAACACGAGCGTTTATAACAACAAAGAAAAGAATCTAACAGATATTCTCAAATAGTTTCGTTCAACAACCAGTAGACATCAATAGTTATGTTGGGGAGCCATCAAATAATCAACAAACATTGTAATTTTCCAAGATATATGAGACAGGGCTGAACTCGGGTTGCCCCATGGTACATCAGAGGGCTGTATTGATTGTCGATATATGAAACAACAACAACAACAACAACAACAACACTACTACTGCTACTACTACTACTACTACTACTACTACTACTACTAATAATAATAATAATAATAGCAGAGTGTGAGTGAGGGTTATTTTATGTATATTTTCTGTTATGATTTAGTCTAATATATTATACATTTTTACATTTTCAGACAGTGTATAATAGTGGAGGATATATTTATTTATTGAATTATACTTGATGTTATTACTTATTTGTAGTTTATGTTGTTGTTTGTGTTTGTTTCAGAAGGCTGGTCTCACCTGGAGCAGCGCACGTAATTCTGGGCTTCTTTTTCGACACCTTGGCTGCTGCTGCTGCTGTTGACGTGGTGGAGTTCACCGCGATCGTCACTTTTGATAGGGAAGACGTGAACAGGCTGGCGTTCTTACTCTCTGCTGCAGGAGACGACGACGACGATAACAGGACTAGGGGCTCCCCGTCCTCCCCGATAAGTGAGGAGATTTCTAGAGTCGACGATAGAGACGACGAGGAAGGTGATATGGACGACAAGACGACCTCTTCATCGTCCTCCTCTCTTAGTTCCATCGTCAGCCGAGACGTCGTCGCTGTGAGGCCGCTGCTGGTGTTAACCATGTTGGTTAATACCGTAGTGTGCGCCAGGTCGTCCTCCTCCTCCTCCTCCTCCTCCTCTTCCCCCTCCTGGTCGTCCTCGTCATAGTCGTCGGTGTCGTTGTCCAGGGAGGGCTTCACGGCCACGGGGAGGAAGCCTATGGGGCAGGTGGCGGAGGTGAAGGAGTAGGAAGAGGAAGAGGAATCCGAGCTGTAATTGGCTGGGGGGGAGGCGCTGAGGGTGGACTGGAAGGAGTGATATGTCTCCAGCAGCACCCACGAGAAGATCAGCGTCTGCACGAGGCTCACCACCTACAGGAGAGAGACACAAGGGGGGGAGGGGGGGATTAAGCCAGGCGCCGGACACCAAATAGAAGATAACACGACAGTCGACAATCATCTTATTACAGAGGGAAATAAACCTCCCGGAAACACAAGATTCACCAAACACCAAAGATATAGCAGGTAAGAACACAGGATTAGTCAGTCATTTATAATAGACATGATTAGCCAGTCTTATATATTAGACGTCAGGGATTAGCCAGTCTTATATATTAGACGTCAGGGATTAGCCAGTCTTATATATTAGACGTCAGGGATTAGCCAGTATTTGTATCATAACACACATAAGGACAGGTGACTCATGAGATTAGCCAATCTCTATTATAGACTGGAAAAGAATACAAGACTCTTCAATCTCCACTACACTACACTACACTACACTACACTACACTACACTACACTACACTACACTACACTACACTACACTACAGCTACAACTACACTACAGCAGAAGGTAAAGTTATGACTACAGGTATTTTTCTGGATAATTTTCGCGAAACAGAAAAAATGCATATCCGAAAAAATCCCCAAGAAAAACGAATTTGAATTAACTTAAATAACCAAACATCAGATAGTCCGTGGTCTCCGTAGTATACATGCTCTACCTGTGTGTGCACATGTATACATAGGTGACTACATGACCCTCTGTACTTGGTTATGTACTTGACAATATACTTTCCCTTCCCCCTTTTTTCCCTACCGTCTCCCTCCTTCCTTCCTTCCTTTCTTCCTTCCTTCCTTCCTTCCTTCCTTCCTTCCTTCCTTCCTTCCTTCCTTCCTTCCTTCCTTCCTTCCTTCCTTCCCTCCTCCCTCCCTCCCTCCGCTACAGAACAATCCTCTCTGATAAAGCTAAGCCCTACACAGGTCTGTCACCCCTTTTATCACCTCCCCTCCCTACCAACCTCTCTTTGTTGTCTCCTTTCCACCTACCCATGTCCTTACCTACCTACCTACCTATGCTTATCTACTTACCTACCAACCTACCTACTTACCAATCTACACATACATACATACATACATACATACATACATACATACATACATACATACATACACATACATACATATAAAAAAGTTTCTTGGCTTTTTGATAACGTACAATTAATGTTAAAAGCTATCTGGTGAGTTAAGGGCTGTTGGGTGTGTGTATTGGGGGGGGTGGGGTGGTTGGTAATAACAGCATTGTTTACCAGGTACAGTAACACGGTTAGTGCCACGCCCAGCTGCTTTCGTGCCTACCACACCCATTACCACACACACACACACACACACCATCATCCAGTTTCTTCAATTTCGCTCTCTCAGGCAATTTCAGCCATCCATCATTCCTCGTTCGCCCTCTTCCTCTTTCCTCCTCCTCTTCTTCTTCGTGTATCTTCTCCTCTCTACGTAATAACACACCTCCATTTCTCTCCCGTCCCCTCTTGCCTCTCACTCACCCTCTTTATTCTTTCATTAAAACTTTTCTCATTTATTCCTCTCCCTTCCTCCCCCCTTCCCCCTCCTCCTCCTCCTATTCACTACTGCCTGACTGCTTCGTTTATATTATAGTATAGCACCCGCTCGAGTTTCTTAAGTTACCCCTTCTTTGTCCGTTCGTTTTCTCTTTAAAGCCCCAACTAAACTATTTTTTTTCCTATTCTCGTCATTTGTCGCAGTGTCTTTATCTCTGTCTTGTGACTCTGTAGTTTAAGGTTATTTTATTTTGTCTTTAGTTTAACAATTTTTTGGGGGCTTTTGTATATTTAAATTATTTTTAATGCATTTTTTTAAATATGTATGATTTTGTTATTATTATATTATGTCTCGTTTTTAATTATTTTCTTGTTTTTTAATTATCTCTTATTGCTTCCTTCTTCCTTGTTTCCTTCTGTCTTTCTCCCTCCCTCTTTTTATTATCACTGTCTATCACTTTCTTCCTCTAATTCTTCTTTTATTACCTCTTTCTCTCTCTCTTTTTCTCCTTCTTTCTCATTCTTTCCTTTTCTCTTTCTCTTGTATCCTCCTTTCCTTATATCCTTCTCTCTATCACTCTCCCACCCTTTGTCCCTTCCTACCCCCTCCCTCCATCCATCCCTCTCTCCCTACCCCTTACCTCCCCTCCCCACCCCCTCCCTCCCTCCCTCCCTCTCTCCCTCTCACATTATTAAGGGAAGATTGGAGACACAAACGTTGCCCTCACTTACCCTTGACCCTAGTAATTGTATCCTAAATTTAGTAGTAGTGGCCCACCCTGACCCACCCTAACCCACCCTGACTCACCCTAACCCACCCCCACTCTGACCCACCCCCCTACTCTATAGGGCCCCTACCCAAGACCCATCCCTCCGCCACCTTGAATCCATACCCAAAGTCCACCTCCCTGACCTCGACCCACAAAACCCCCTTTGTAATATCACCCCTCCCCTTATACTCTCCAGAACTTATATAACATAAGAGCAGCAAGTCCCCAGAACCCCCCTCTCCCAACCGCCTTGATTCACAGTTCAAAGCCAGAGACAATCTAGAGTGAAGGTTCCCCAACCCAAGTAATGGTGCTGGTGAAGGTGTGTGTAGAGAGAGAGAGAGAGACACAATTACCATTCACTAAGCTCTTTATAAAGTAGGCAGCTCACTGAGAATCAAGACCTTCATTTGGTATTCCTCATATATCTCTGAGTTTTGAGTCGACCCCCCACGCCCTCTCTCTCTCTCTCTCTCCTCTCTCTCTCTCTCTCTCTCTCTCTCTCTCCTCTCTCTCGACTTTTAAATCACAAGAGAGAATAAAATTAATCTTACTAGGATCCGTGTCTAGTTACCATACACAAGAAGAGCTTAAGGGTCATAATCCCCCCATAATAACAATAATAACTCGACCATAATTCCCCTTGATGTGTAGGTTACTTTTGTTCGCATTTGAGATCTCTTTTTGGTACACACTGTTGACGTCACGCGGCTTAATAGTTGTTAAAAGTTACGTTTACGACTGGGGGAAAATTTTTATGGGTTTGTTGTGTAATTTGTGGTGTTGTATGGTCATGTGAAGAATAGGCACCCTTATTGTTACTTACAGTGTGTTTATATAGTGAAGATAGTGTTTTGGATTAAGTAACATTCTAGTTTTTAAAATGTTACTTATAGTGTGTTTATATAGTGAAGATAGTGTTTTGGATTAAGTAACATTCTAGTTTTTAAAATGTTACTTATAGTGTGTTTATATAGTGAAGATAGTGTTTTGGATTAAGTAACATTCTAGTTTTTAAAATGTTACTTACAGTGTGTTTATATTGTGAGGATAGTGTTTTGGATTAAGTAACATTCTAGTTTTTAAAATGTTACTTAGTGTGTGTTTATATAGTGAAGATAGTGTTTTGGATTAAGTAACATTCTAGTTTTTAAAATGTTACTTAGTGTGTTTATATAGTGAGGATAGTGTTTCGGATTAAGTAACATTCTAGTTTTTAAAATGTTACTTATAGTGTGTTTATATAGTGAAGATAGTGTTTCGGATTAAGTAACATTCTAGTTTTTAAAATGTTACTTATAGTGTGTTTATATAGTGAAGATAGTGTTTCGGATTAAGTAACATTCTAGTTTTTAAAATGTTACTTATAGTGTGTTTATATAGTGAGGATAGTGTTTTTATATTAATTCCCTGGATGTTGTTTTAAGATTGGTGGTCCCTGGTTCAAGTAGTGACTGTGTTTGACTGCCCACTGCGTCCCCTACCATCTGGACAAGGTAAGTATTGCTGTCTTGTTCTTGTTCTTGTTGTTCGTGTTCTTGTTCTTGTTCTTCTTGTTCGTGTTCTTGTTCTTGTTCTTGTTCTTGTTGTTCTTGTTCTTGTTGTTCGTGTTCGTGTTCTTGTTCTTCTTGTTCTTGTTCTTCTTGCTCTTGTTGGTCTTGTTGTTCTTGTTGTTCTTGTTGTTATTCTTCTTGTAATGTTAGATTAGTTATGTTATGTTACGTTCTGTTAAATTTTGTCAAGTTATTATGTTATATTTGGTTGTCAGGTTAGATTAGGTTAACGAGGGTTAATCTTCAGGTGAAATAAGCTAGGAGGGTTAATCATCAGGTGAGTCAAAACACTATACTATCATGCTTGCTTCAGTGTTAATAAGTTAATCAGTTAACATGTTACAGTGATACGTAGGATAGACGACAGGTAATTTCACTGACTCATCTTCTTCCTTCAGGTAAGTGCATCCTAACAGCTCTTCGTGGGCCAGTTAACACACCATACACCAGGTACGTACGAGTTAACTGTTAATTAACCTCTACAGACACCCCCCCCCCCCTTATACTGATGGGTATATATCCTGGTATAATACACATTGATATAAGGTTACTTGACCATCGAGTATATCTATATAACTTGATATACCAAACGATTTATATAATACCAATATGAGTTAGTCACGACGTCTCTATATCAAATATCTTGTTACTTTACTCCATTTAGTCATAATATCATATAAAACACCCAGGAATATACTATAATAACTTAGAGCATTAGGATATAGGGGATTTTATATCGAGGGAACGTGTTATAATGTTATATAAGATAGAGAATAACATGAGAGTATCTTGTGTGGGGGAAAATAATGTCTGGTTGGCCCGCCCGCACGTCACCAAGGGAGATTTTGTGTACACAGTCAGGCGCTCGCTTGACTGACAGGGGAAAAGGGGGTCTTACGGTGGGGCGGGGGAGAAGGGGGATTGATAGGGGAGGGAAACTCAGAGGGGGGATTCATGAGGAGGGGGCTCATGGGAGAAGGGGGACTGACAGGGGGGCATTAACAGGGGGGGAAAGGGGGATTTACATGGGGTTCAACTTGTGTGCGTTGTGCCGTGGATGAAGGCCATCTCGTGTTGTTTAGACTGTGGTAGTTAAGACCAGGTGTGGCAGGGGTAGCAACGGCAAGACAGAGGGAGACAGCAGTGTGAAAGCAAAAGTAAACAGTGATGATAGCTACAGCAAGGGTTATATT